CCCCCAGAGTCTCCTGATGTCTTAAGAAGCACATGTACCCGGAGAGGTTGAGTGGTCCTCACCTGAGTCTCCTAAGAGTGGGAAACTCTCTTTTGAATTCAGTTTTTAAAAGCAATTTTTCTCTCTCTCCCTTTCTTTCTTTTTTTCTTTCTTTTCTTTCCTTCTTTCCTTTCTTTCTTTCTTTCTCTCTCTCTCTCTCTTTCTTTTTTTTTTGTAGTATAAAAATGCTCCAGGCATTGCACGATGTCAGGTTTTGGATCTAATTCCCAATCCCTTTATAACCATGACAGCTGGACTTCGCCTTCATCAGTATTTCCTTTTCCCTGCTCATGGGCCTCTCACTCCTACATTCACTCTTCACATCACACAAATAAGTTCATTCTCAACCCCATACCTGCCATGTGGCTTCCCTTTTTTTCCATTCTCATCATGATAATCCAGGTTCTTCACGTTCATCAACACCTTGAAAAGTCATCTTTGAATTCTTTCTTGCTTTGTCATTCAAAGCATTCTACTCCCTGACTCCCCATCTCTTCCTCTCTCCATTCTAACAGTTCTGTTTGCTTGTGTTTTATCCATCCATCCATCCATTCATCCATCCGTCCATCCATCCATGCATCCACCCATTCATCCATCCATGCATCCGTCCATTCCTCCATCAGCCCATGTGTCTATTTTGTCTCAGACACTGGGGACAGAGAGATGATATGGTGAATTACTGTCCTCAGGACATGGCAGTGTAGGGGTGGGGAACAGGATATATAAATAAAAAATTAATGGCAGTGCAACTAGATATGCACAAAGCATGGAGGATGTAAAAGAAGAACCTGGGAAGGATGCACTGGCAGGAGAGCTGGGCACCTTCTAAGCAGAAGGAATGCCGTGCACTGGCATGGGTAGATGAAAAAGCATACTGCACGCAGGAAGCCCTGAGTTTTGGAAAATTGTTGAGGCAAAAATTAAGAGAATCTGGGGATAGGACAGGGATTGGTGGTAAGAATTAATCTGGAGTGTTAGGCAGGGCCCAGGTCTTCAGAGGTCCTATATGTTATGCTAAGGCTCTCAGGCTCACCCTAATAGTCCTGGGGCTCCACTCAGTGGTTGGTTTTAAGGAAGGGAGCGACATGGTGAGACTAGTTTGGAGAGAACTCTGGACTCCTGCAAATAGATTTCATGGGTAACTCTTCAAGGTGGGGAGGCCTGTGGGGGGTAAAAGTAGGAATGATGTTTACCAGGGAGGAAGAGGACACATGCAAGAAGCGTTGTGGAGGTAAAGTTGGTAGCCCTGAATGATAGGTGGAAGGAGTCTGGGGCTGCCATCCAGGTTTCTGGCTTGAGAAAGTGCGTGCATGAGAGTTCTGTGCCCATACCCAGTCCTGTCTAAACTAGGTCGTTCTGCCTTGGGCCTGCCTCAGTTGCCCCTGTATTCAGTTTTGTTACCAACGCATAAATCAGGCCTTCATTTCTTACCTAGATTCTTGAAGTATCCTCTTCATCTCTTTCAGTCCATCCTAGAAAATACTGCCATCGTAATCTTCCAGGGATGGCTGAACAATTCCCATTGCATAGTGAACGATGTCCCAGCTTTTAGCATCACCATCAATATTCATAGCTAGAGCAGACTTTCTTTTCCCGTAGAGTCAAATTTTTGAGAGAACATGAGGCATGTTGTATGTGAAAGTGGTTTTTAAGGGGGGCACAGACTCGTACTCTGAGGTCAAAGAAGGAAGATGGCAGGGTGTCTCTAGAAGTGACCCTGGGTGATCCTGTCTGTGCCCATCATGTCTTTCTAGGTGTATCTTCCACCTTTCCCCTGGCCTAGTGTTCTCTGGTCTGGTCTCATTGTTGCCTAAAATTGACCCCTTTCTTACCTGGGTCTTTGCAGACTGCATTGCTTCTGCCTGGAATACTTTCACTCACATTCCTGTCTGTTGAAATCCTACCCATCTTTTGATATCCAGCCCAAATGCAAGGACCCCATGAATCTCCAGGGGAATGGATCATCCGGAAGCACTATCCTGTGTTACGACACCCTGCACATTTACTGTGCACAGCACCCAACATGTCTCGTATTTTATCTCCCCCACTGGACTGCTAGACTGGGAGCAGAAGTGGAAAATCGGAGGCCTTAAGCCTGGGTCCAGCCTTTGAATGTGTTCTGTTAATTTGCACATTATTCCCCAACCAAATTTAATTTATTAAAAAAAAAACCTGTGTTAAACACACAGAAAATTTGAAAATATGATATAATAATGTATATTTGGGACATCACTGAGAATGAACAGATTTGCTGCTGACACCTCGCCACCTACTTTTTAAGATATAAAATATTACATGTACAGTTTGAACACTAGCCCACACATCCCTCTTAAAGCTGGTCTTCACACTGCTATTTCAAATTTAGCGTTAGTAACTAATATTTAGAAATCAAAAGATTTCACATAAGAATTGGCCTCCTACCACTTTCCTGCCAGTCCTCAGCAGACCACTGTGGGTTCCACACCCCACTCAAGCCCTCAGAGCCTGCCTGTCTGGTCGGTGGCTGAATCTTGCACCTGAGCTCCTCGTCTGCCCTCTGTACACACTTCCCAGCAGTTGAGGGGGCTCTTCATGGCCTTTGTCCTCCTCCAAACCACTGCCCTGGCTGTGCCCCCTGCCTGGACCCAAGAATCCAAGGCCTCATTCAAGCCCCATGGGCTCCTGCGGCTTTTCGCAGTGACTTCAGCTCAGATCCATTCTCTGTACTCATATACACCTAGCTCTTAAGCCGGTGGCTAGGCACTTGCCCGTGCTTTCATTTATTCCTTTGCTAGGTACCTTGCAGAGCCACCCAGGTAAAGAAAACGGACCCAAAAGTGCCCGCTGGGTCTGGTTTCCTTGTTCTTCCCTCTGAGATTTTGCTGCTCCCGTGTGATGCATCACATGAGGTGCGGTGGGGCTTGGTGCAGGATCTCTGCCCGCCTGGCACCTGTAGCTGTAAGAAGGGATGGCACATATTGTTGGCTACAACACAACAGGGCCTCTATGCTTGTTCAGTTGAGAATGCTAGTCATCCGATTCCCTCGTCTCTCTTCGATCACTCCTTGCTGCCCGATGGAGATATGTCCTTTCCCTTTCCTTCCCTGTGAAAATTGCCCCGGTGGTTCATAGGTGTGGGGTTTCACTAGGCTGAAAAACAAGGAGGAAGGGCTCTTGTCCCAGATTCCACCACCCTCCTTTCTCTCCCATGCAATTTTGCGTTAACATATGGATGGTGTGCATGCCTTTCAAAAGCTGGACAGATGCTGGCTCTTGGCATTTTGTGCAGAGGACGGGGAAGGAGGAGGAGTGCTGCATTTTTCACCTTACCCCATTGCCTGGGGCCACACCGCCCTGATGGTAGTGCTGATCATCGGTTCCTTGGGGTTTTGAAAGTGGTGGAAACCTGTTCATCTGAGCCAGAATGTTTTTCTCTTTTCCCGTCAGAACGAACACTGATACTATATCCTTTGTGATCATCAAATTCAACTGATTAATGATGTGTAGATTTCCTGTGTAGGAAAGAAGCCGTCTTGGTCCTGGATGTGACTGTCATCATTGCTGTCACACCCAGGTGCAGAGGGAGACAGCTTCCCCTCCACACACTCTGACCCCACAGCAACCTCCTCACCTGCTTCAGTTCTACTCTGTCCCTGATGTCCCTGAGACTGGATTGTGTTTGTTGTTTGTTTGTTTGTTTTTTACTGTTGCTTCTTTGGTTGGTTATTGGCTATGTCATCGTTGAAGTCCCCAAACTTGTCCTGATTTGTCTCCACTTCTCAGGCATGTTGAGAAGAATAAGAGGGCCAGTGACTAAAAGGGAGATGGAGGGAAGGAAAGTGGCTAAGGAAGTGGAAGAATAAAGGAAGAAAGGATGTGATTCAAAGGAGAGAAGGATAAAGAAAGAGGAAGAGGCAGTTAAATCTGGGGATGTGGGATAGTACACTTCTACTTTTTGAGCTGAAGAGGAGGTATATTTTGAAGAAGTTCACACTTGTTCCCTTTACTTGCCCAGGAACCCATGGTGTGGCTTCATTGTGTGATTTGAAAGGGTGAAATGCAAGATTATTAATGACCAGAATGGCCAACACATTTATAGCCAGGTGTGTCCTAGAGACCTTCAAGGAAATTGGCACTAAAGCTGGTGGAGGCTGGATGCCTTTTTGCTTGCTCTCCCTTGCTCAAGGCCATTGGTAAGGCATGCAGCCCTTCCAGATGCCCTCAGGGAATTTCCCGAGTTCTAGAGAATCCCCTGCATGGGATTGTGCAAGAAGGAGGTAACCCAAGTAAGCTAGGGCTCTCCCAAGGATTGGCACCCCATGCTCCAATGCTCTGCCGTACCACTGACAAGGCCAGTTCAGGCTGTTTGATTTGGTGGAGACATAGGGACTTTCTTGGCCAATCTCCTGATAGCAGGCCTAGCCACTAATCAGTTGACTGTGAACAAATTTTCTCACCAATAAAATGGAAACGGACACCCTGCCTCGGGTTTCTGATGAGTATTAAATGAGGTAATATATGTCATATGTAGCTCATGTTGTACATGCCTGAAATAAGGTAGAGCTTATTCAGCCTTCAACCACCCTTCCTGACCCTCCCACTACTCTGCCCACCTCCTAACCCCAGTTTCATGCTACTCTTCTAAGTTGGAGATGGTGATACCTGGAAATGAAAGGGAAAGGAGGAAAGTATGTGTTAACAGAAACCATACCTCCCTCCAGGTTAAGCATTAAAACATTTATTGCTTGTTTCATTGAACTGTGTGAAGAAACAGGAGAGTTAAAAGAAAAGATATCCTTTCTCATTTAGGAGGAGAAATGGAGTTCTAGTAGTTAAAAGAGACCCTCAAGATAAAAGAGACCACAATTTTTCAGAATCAGGCACTGAGATTTGGAAAAAGCAAATCACGTTGTCTGTCCTCTGGCATACGATTAGGACAGAAAGCTTCTGGTTGGGCCAGGGAATGGGCAGGTTTTAATGACATGAGGAAGACAATAAGTTGGCTATTATGTGAAAGGGAGGCAGCAGGACCTGGGCTTGTGCCCTTGTCACCTTCTGTATGAAGCCAGGAGGGTGGAGCTTGATGACACCTCCTAACAACACCCACATGCACATCTCTGTCATCCTTAAATCACTGAGTCTTGGACTTCAGGGTCTCCTTGTGCCGGTCCACAAGGGAACCCACCCACTCCACGGTTTTCTGCTGGGCTTCCTCCCAGCTGTAGAGCGGCTCATACGCCAGATCTTGCTGAGTCTTCTTGTAAGAGAAGGTGAACACGCTATTTGACAATGTCACTGTGTGATGGTTGAAGGGCGGTTGATAGGTGCAAATTGGCCTGAGCAGGAGAGTCACTATTTCCAGCAGGAAGCCAATCCAGTACATCAGGGATAAAGGAAGGCTCCATCTGGAATCAAGGCGGAGGCTGAACTCTTTGCTCAGGGTGTAACTAAGGTTATCATAGCTTTGGTGAGGCGTGTCACCTGAGATATAGTAGAACTGCCCTCGGACACTTAGGGCCTTCTTGGGGTCCCACAGGGCCCTCAAGGCCAGAATGTGGGCCCAGGCCACATTGCCAGCATAGACTGGGTTGACAGTGGAGAACTTGCCAACACTTGACAGGATCTCATTGTTGTTCAGGGCTTCATTTATATTGGCAGTAAGAAATGGGCCTCCTTCCCCATAGATACACATGGGTCTTAAGGCACAAGTGTAAAAGGTATCACCATTTTTCAGAGTCCACCCATTAGCTGCCAGCACAGCCTTCTCAGTGAGCTTTTTACTGTGTGGATATGGAGCAGACCGTGTGTTTTCCAGAGAGGCTTGTGTTTCTCTCTTACAAGAAGGCTCAGTGAGATCTGGCGTATGAGCCGCTCTACAGCTGGGAGGAAGCCAAGCAGAAAACCGTGGAGTGGGTTGGTTCCCTTGTGGACCGGCACAAGGAGACCCTGAAGTCCAAGACTCAGTGATTTAAGGATGACAGAGATGTGCATGTGGGTGTTGTTAGGAGATGTCATCAAGCTCCACCCTCCTGGCATTCTCGATGATTTCCTTGTAGGAGTTGGGCCCGGCTACCCCTAGGGCACTGGGGTAGATGAAGACTGGCACACTGGCTTGGACACAGGCCTCCAACAGGAGCTGAGTACCTGCCCACAAAGAGCATGCTGTCAGTGTCAGGAAATATCCCTAAGGGGGGCCTACCACATACACAGATCCATGTGCCCCACTCCTCACTCCCAAGTACAGTGGTTGTAACAGACTCGGGATATATTCTTCTGTGGCTCTGACTAACACTGGGCCACGCTACAACCATAGGAAAAACACAAAAATGAAAAGAAACTGACATGTGGGTTCTGGAGAACAAGAATTTTTAGACTTTTGGGTCTCATGTATGTGTCTGTGTGTGTGTGTGTGTTTGTGTGTGTGTGTACCTTAATTTTGGAAAATGACCTTGGGTTATCATTTTTTGTTTTGTCACGTACACATTGAAAAATTAGGATTTTTCATCAATACCATTAAAGACAGATCATTTAAAATCTAAAAATACTCTGAGTGTATGGATAGTCCCAGTTCTTAGGCACAAAAGGGCAGTGGAAGAATTCACATGACACACACACAAATACATAGTATGCAGGCAATATACACTCTTCAATATACATGAAATTGTTAATATTTTTCTCATTTTGTTGAGTACTAATAAAACTTTGCCACAAGGACCATCTCTGGACATTGAGCAAACAGTGGGTTGTGGGAACATGCTGGAGACCCACAGTCTTTTCCTGATTGTGTGTTCCCTGGGAAAGAGGCTCCCAATTTAAAGTCTCTGTGCAATTTGAATTTCTGGAGAGACAGTCTCAGGTTTTTAAAAATTAATCCAATGAGGGAGAAAATTTGGAGTTAGTTTGCCTTCAAGGGGGAATTGATCAACATTGTGAAGTATTTTCTAAGCCTGGGAGTGATAATGGTTTTAGGGAACAGATGTCTCTAACTGTCTTCCCATCTAGAAGACATCTAACAGATGTCTTCCCCTGTCATTTCATATCCCCTGTTGTATGGAGCTGTGGAGAGTAGGAATTAAAATAAAAAACTGGTTAATCTTAGCATCCTCCTTTCACTGTAGAGGTACTTAGAGGTATGGGTAAGTAGCAACTGGAAAGGGTTTTTTTTTTTTGTTTTTTTGTTTGTTTGTTTTTGTTTTTTGAGATGACACTGGCGACTCAAAAGTAATTAGTTGCTTTAGAAAAGGAGTTTGAGGCTGGGTGTGGTGGCTCATGCCTGTAATCCCAGCACTTTGGGAGGCGGAGGTGGGTGGATCACGTGAGGTCAGGAATTCAAGACCAGCCTGGCCAACATGGTGAAACCCCATCTCTACTAAAAATACAAAAAAAAAAAAAAAAATTAGCTAGGTGTGGTGGTGGGCACCTGTAATCTCAGCTACATTGGGAAGCTGAGGCAGGAGAATCGCTTGAACCTGGGAGGTGGAGGTTGCAGTGAGCCGAGATCACGCCACTGCACTCCAGCCTGGGTGACAAGAGTGAAACTCTGTCAAAAAAAAAGAAAGAAAAAGAAAAAGAAAAAAAAGAAAAGGAGTTTGAGTAGCCTGAATGTGGAGGGCCAGGCCGGGGGTTGGGGTGCTGTAGTGCTGAAGAGGCTCTGGAGATCAGAGAGTGAGTGTGCATTAGAAGATTCCTTAAGGAAATGTGTCTGAATTTAAAGTAGGTTGGAAAGTGACAATTCAGAAAGACCACCAAGCATTTAAGGGATGAGGATTGAATGAGGGTGCACTTTGGGCACCTGGCTGGAAACAGCTATGTAATAGCAGACCCTGTGGTGAGCTGAACAGATTGCATTCTGGTACACTGGGAAACTCTTATTGTTAAAAAAATATTGTGGGAAGGTGTGTGCTAGATAATTCTGTTCTGACAGACCTCTGTGAACCAGCTTTGCTAGTTCTCGAGAGGACTTCTTTGAGGTGGGCAGGAGGGCTCTGAATGTTCTTATCAGCCTGCACACAAGGTTCAAAATGATGACTATGATGACACCTGGAAGGTCTGATTCTGGTCTGGGGAGCCAAGGGGTAACTGGATTTCAAGAGTCTGAAGTCAGAGATTAATTGACTTTTGACTGGGGCCACATTAGAAAGAGCTTCCAGAGCCTTTGGAGTCACACAGGAGTGAGTTTAAAGTCGAACTCTCCTACTTACTTACGTACTCACCTGTGGGACTTTGGACAAGTTGCTTGTCTTTGCTCAGTCCTAGTTTTCTCATCTATGAAACTGAAAATAGCAGCCTTGAGTTCCCCCAGTCAGTAGTGATCAGCAAAGGCACTTGGCCCAGAGCACAGCAGGTGTTCAGTGGAGAGACTTCTCTTTCCTTCCTGCCCTTCTTTCTGATCCTCATTTCCCCACCTTGGTCCATCTCCTCCCCAGGCCACCGTACCATTCACATTGACATTCATGATGGACTCTCTGTGAGGGACACCGAAGACATCAATGATACAGGAGGTGTGGATGACGACCAAGACGTCCTGGCAGGCTCTCTTCAGGAATGGCTCATCCAGAATGCCTCCTTCCAGCACTGTCAGCTTGGTCTTGTTCTGGAGCTCTGTGTGAACACGGGTCAGGTCATAGGAATGATTTCTGGATCTGGTTGGGAAGTTTTCTGATAAAGGTGATGTTACACAGGTGTTCGAGGATGGTTAGAGTGGGGGTGTTAGAGTGGAGGGTGTACATTCCACGGAAAGAAGAAGCAAACAAAGACACAGAAATCAGCATGGTAGCAGTTTACTAGGAAAGCAAACATCTGTTTCTACCATGTCTCATTTCAGAAAAGTAATCTGAGCAGTGAGCTGTCAGGTGTACCTAGAATATAAGCATTGCTAGAGTCATGGGAGACTCACCAAATTTCTTAAGGAGCCTAGGGTGATTGTGGAGAGTTGGGTATAAAAGGGAAAAAGTGAATTCAATTTTGTAGGTAATGAGGAATAATGTATGGAATCATGATTTTGGGTCTCCAGCATCATATCAAAGAAAAATGCTTATTGATATTTGGAATAAAAAGAGAAACAGGCCAGGTGTGGTGGCTCACGCCTATTTCTTTTTGCATTGCAAACATAAATAAGCAATTTTTGGAACTTTGGGAGGCCAAGGTGGGTGCATGCCTTGAGCCTGGAGGATGGATACCAGCCTGGACAACCTGGTGAAACCCCATCTCTACTAAAAATACAAAAATTAGCCCTGTGTGGTGGCATCTGTCTACACTCTTTGCTATTCAGGAGGCTGAGGCAGAAAGATGGATGAAGGATGGATGGAGCCCAAGAAGTGAAGGTGGCAGTGAGCTGAGATTGCACCTCTGCACTCCAGCCTGGGGGGTAGAGCAAGACCCTTTCTCAAAAAAAAAAAAAAAGAAGAAAGAAAGAAAAAGAGAGAGAGAGAGAGAAACAGAGGCAGAGTTGTTGTGTAGGAAGTTAGCCTTGGCTTAAGGATATAAAATGGACAGATACAGGTGATATGAGAAAGCCAGGTGATCGAATGATTAATCAGAATGTCTGTGCCAATGTTTAGACGAGGGCTGGAACCAGAGTCCAGCAGTGGAAGCAAAGGAGGGGAGAGATATACCAGGTATGAATTTCAGACCTTACCTTGAAGGTCCTGGTACCTATTGGATCTGGGCTGAGAGGAAAAGAAGATAAAATCACCCCTGTGGTTTCCTGCTTGGGCAACTGGGAGGAGAGTAGAGCCATTACTAGGAAATTGAGGATGGGCGTAAATGATGAATTTCATTGAAAAACTCTTATCGGATACCATAAAAAGCAGATAGCAACGCTGAAAATGAGTTAGCCACCGATGAACTAACATCCCAGATGTCTAGTGTCTAGCCAAAGGCAGTGGATATAACATCCATATCTTCAGGCTTCTCTGAAATCTACAGGTAGTGATGCTGCCAGTAAAGTTGTCAGCTGGAATTAGCCCCAAAATGAACACCATGCTACATGGAGCTCAGATAAATACTCTACTCTCATTTGTGCTTTATAATCTGCATACGGCCCACAGCTTGCTTCTTTCCCTTTACAGCTATCTTGTAAGGTAGGTATTTTGCGTCCCACTTTATTGGTGAGGAAACTGAGGCACAGATAAGTTAAAGGACAGATCTAAGGTCAGGCTTCTAGTAAGGCTCAAACCTGCCCACCTCACCTCAAGCCTTGTACTCTGTACCCCAGGTGCAGGACTGGCTGTTTAGAATCAACTTTTCTGAGAAAGAGTAAGAATAAGCCAGTTTAACTGAAATTGGCAACAAAGGCCAAATAATTGTAAGAGTGAAATTCAGGTGAAAAACTCAAGGCTGGAGAAATTCCTTCCTGGGGTACAGGCGGGACCATTTACTCTCCTAATGCCTGTGCCATGTTTGGTCTACTCCCAGCCCCTTCCCATAGTCAGGCACCTCCAAGAAGGGCCTGCAGTGGGAGGAGCCAGGGAAGAGGCTGCTGGGAAGACGTGGTAACAGCCTGAGAGTGGAATTTTCTGTTTGTATTTCCCCCTCTTCTCCCTTCTCTGCTACCTTCCTCTGCTTCTCCTTTGTTGCCGACTTCAGACAGACTGGCTCAAAGAAACTGCTATTTCAAAGCGGAAGAAGTCCAAAGCGGGGAAAAAAGCACTGTTTGCAAACGCGTTTGCAGGGATCAATAGGCACCAGGAAAGGGGACTTTGTTGATGGAGCTATAGCTTCCTCCTTCTAGAAGCTGCTAGACTAACTACTGCTTAAGCACACAAATGCTGCACTAGACTGCGTGTGTTCAAATCCAGATTTACCATATTCTAACTATGGAACCTTGAACAAGTTAATTAACCTCTCTCTGACTGTCTCCTCATCTGTAAGAAAGGAAGATGATAAAAAAACCGATCTCATAGGGTGGTTATGGGGAGCAAATGAGTCAACACATGCAAAATGTTTAGCACAGTGCCTGACACAGAAAGAACACTGAATAGATTCTCTGTTTTTATCTTCATGCAGGCCCCCACTCATTCATTATACCTGCTGAATTTTCACCATAGGTGAACGGTTCCCTTAGGCTGAGCATTATTTTTTTTTCCAGTATCAGGTGTTAGAGCGCGAATATTGGTGAGATATAAAGATTACAAACATTTAATATTGGTCGTATGTTAATATTTGTTTATCAAAGACACCATTAAAACAGAAGGTGGAGGAAATGGGACTTTTGAAGAGGCCACTCTTCTCTGGGAGAGTGAAAGAAGAGATTGTTGGGTGTGGTCTCTGAGTGCTGTCAAGTGGGAGCTTTTCTGTGGGCAGGGGAGGACCCTCTGGGCAGCCAAAGCCCACATGTAGACACACAGTCCCCCCAATCCCCTGGGTTGGGGAGGTGGACAAGGAATTGGTTTGGGGCACACAGAGAGGCAAAGAGAGAGACTGAAGACCCACTTTGCCAAGCATCAACCCAATGGCCAAGTGATGGAGCCTCTGGAAGGAAGCTCTGGCCTGAGCGCTGCTATACACTGATCAGATGGCATTGGTGAGTAACTTTATGTTTCTAGACCTTGATGGGTTCATTGTCCAGTTAGATGTGATCCATTTTGTACCTTCCTCATGGGGTTTTTTTTGCACAAGGAGTTGCTACAGCAAATTCTGCCATCAATTTCTTTGGGGTATTGAGCAACAGAGATAAATGTTTTTGTTGTTGTTGTTGTTGTTTGTTTGTTTGTTTTAAAGCCATTTATAAGAAATCTAAATGAGGCATGTCCGACCTCATACTGCCTCTTACTCTGTCTCTGCTTTGTGCTGTGCACTTGAGCACTCTCTCTCTCTCACTGATGCCCTCTCTCTCCTGTTCTCTCTCTTTCTCATTCATTCACTGACTTTCTCATTCTCTCTCCTCCTCATTTTTTTTCTCTCTCTTTCTGACACACACACACACACACACACACCCCCCACACACAAACGCTTACACACTCATCTTTACCTTTGTTCCCTTTTATTTTCCCTTCACTAAAATACTAAGGAGGCTTCCAAACAAAACAAAGTCCAGCGCAGTCTAGAGAGGCAGGACCCACTGGTGAGGTCTTTAGGGTAATGGTGTCCTTTGTGAATGTTGCAGAGCAATCGCCAAGACAAAAAGCTTCAGACATAAAAGAGTTGCAGACAAGAAAGAGAACAGATGTGGGATTTTCTTAATAGAAGAAAAGAGGCCTGGAGGCTGAGGTGGCTGCCTCTCAAGTTCTGGGTCAGGGCCAGAATCCAGTCTCTGGATCCCCCATTCAGTATATTTCACACTATGACATTTTATACTCTTTAATGTTTCCTTTTTAATGACTTTGGATGTGGGATTGGCTTAGATTTGGCTACAACTTTCCATAACTTGCTAGACAAGGTCCACCTCCCCACACAACAGGGTTTAAGCTGGAGCCACACAACTATGACTCAAGTTTACTTACTAGAAAATTCCTCCCTCAGTCCTGGTCTGAAGGCCTTGTCCAAGGCCCTGATCTCCTTCAGCTCTGTCTTCTCCACCAACAGGCAGATGATCCTCTGACCCAGAAACCCTCCTGCTCCTGTCACAAGGCAGCTCCAGCCTGTCATGGCCAATCCAAGGTAGCAGGAAACACTCGCCAGGAAACAGAAGATGCTAGGGAGAAGATATTACTCTATGGTGACCCTAGAGAAGGCTAAAAAGGGAGATCAGATATTTATACACTCACACAGATGCCTTTTTACTTCCACCCAATTTTTTTTTGCAAAAATTCCATATCCCACCGTTGCTAGAAGTAGCTGCAAGAAAATGAAAAAGCTCTAACCATTAGTTAGATTATTAATAGCTGAAGAGAGTAGTCAGGGTGCTGGTCACCTCATCCTTTGAGGCAAGCCTGGAGCTTTGTGCACTGTGGCTTCTGGCTCAGTCATTATCACCATGAACTCCTGCCACAAACTCATTGCTCTCTGCTCCTTCAGGATCCCTTTACTCAGAAGAACAGTGACCTTTAAGTTTTATCTCCCAGAAACAGAATGAGAAGTTTAATCTCCCAGGAACAGAAAGAGAAATTCAAGGCTGCAATGTGATGAAGCATCTTGGGTTTAGACTTAACAGGACACTGGTCAGTTGATACCAGCTCTGGGATCTGCAACCTGTGAAGTTAAAGTAGACTGGGAGAACTCTTCAAGTGCAATGTGAACTCTGACGTTGCGCAGTAAATACATTTGGGAGGAAATCCACATTAGCCCATTATCTCCTCTCTCAGACTATCATTTGAGATGTTGCTCCTGTCTTGCAAGGTTTAGAAATGTTGACAGCTCCAATCACTAAGTTTTATGTGAGGTGACTTTCTCTCCTACCCAATATATCCAAAACCTCAATTGCAATTTTCCCCTGGAGAGCTTTGGATTCCTAGACAAAGAACATCATTGGAGGGAAGCTGTCTAGTGATAACTGCTTAATTATATGGCCTGTACCACAAGAGTGGGGATTTCTGGTTGTATGACCCAATGACTCTTACCATAGATGTTTGAACTTATCCTGTATTTTTGGCTGCAAAACCATTCTCAGCAAATTCCTGAACTGAATATGCTGTGAATGCTTCTGTAGTCTATGCCTGACAACTGCCCAGTATCACTACCATAAGCTCCCCAAAACACTTTCCTCTATTTTAAAAAATCAAGGTGTAATTTATATGCATTAAAATGCCCAGATCTTAAGTATTCAGTGCCAATGAACTTTGACAGTTACATATGCTCATGTAAGTACCACTCAACGAAGATATAGACCATTTCCTTCCCTCTATAAAGGTGTTTTCGAACTGTCCCCTGTTATTTCCCTGCCCTCCGCCCAATCAGTCTCAGAGGCAACTACTTTCTGATTTTTATTCTCACAGAATTCCCATTTTCTATTTCAATTTCCTATATTTTCATAATTTATTCTTCTAAGATCTCTGTGGTTCTGGATATATGTTTAAATATAAAATCATTTTAAAGTTTAGCTTTCTGCATAGTGTACAGAAAAATTAACTACTGATTTTCTCTATTGTTTGTTCATTCTTGTATTTCATGATTTTCATTATTTTTGTAATTGGCTTACATTTATTAACTTTGGGTTTATTTTACTCTTCTTTTTCAGGGTTCTTTTGATGAAAGCATAGATAATTGACTTTACTCCTTTGCTCATTTCCACTACAGGCATTGAAAGTTGTCAGTCTCTCTCTAAGCACTATGTCAGCTGCGTCCCACATTTTGAGGCACTGGGTCATCATCACTCAGTTAACGAACTTTTTCTTGTGAATTCGTTTATGACCAAAGTGTTATTCAACATATGATGCTTGTTTTCTAGGATTGGGAGTCTTCTAGATATCTTATTGTTATGGATTTCTAATTAAATCCTATTGTGGCCAGAGCATATACCCTGTGTGATTTTGATCCTTGGATATATATTGAGACTTGTTTTATGGTCCAGCATACGGTCTATGATGGTGAAAATGCCATAAGCACTTGAAAATAATGCTTTCTGAAGTTGTTGGAAGTAATACTCTACAAATGATTTGGTTTGAAACTCCACCCTGGGTCTTGCCCTCCTCCCACATTGTAGACACTCATCTAATACTTGGAACCTGACTACCAGTGCTTCAAACCCACTTGCCGAGAAAGGTTGACCCTGTGCTGCAAGCTGTAGCAGCTTGTTCTCTGAAGCTGGCAGAACTAGCTACAGGCCCTGGGTCTTGCTGAGACTTGTGGAGCACTATCTGAGGCCAACCAGGTGCATCACGTGCCTTTGCCTGCTGTAGCAGATGCTGGAGTACACCTTAGGTAGCCCTCATCTCCTTCAGGACAGTATCGCTCATTCCCTCAGCTGTTGAGAGTTCTGGAGGCTGATAGATTTCAACCAGTGTCTCTCTTGGAGTCTCTGAGTGGAACCAATAAATATAAGCTTTCTTTAAACCAATAAATATCTCGCTTTCTTTAGGAACATGAGAAGTAAAACAAAGGGCAAGACTGATGTGAGCCAAACTACCAACTTTCTTTTATTTTTAAACAACTTTACTGAGGCATAATTGATATAACATTCACCTGTTTTAAGGCACGGTTCAATTATTTTTAGTAACATTTTAGAATTGTGTGACCATCATCACAGTCCTGTTTTGGAACATTTCTATCATTCGTAAGGAATCCCTCATGCTCATCAGTTGCCACCCCTTATTCCAAACCCCCCAGCTCTAGGAAGCCCATAACTGATTTTCTGACTCCACAGATTTTATTTTCTGGACACCATATAAATGGAATCATATAATATGTGGTCCTTTGTATCCATCTTCCTTCACTTAGCTTAATATACTTTTATGGTTCATCTATGTTGTAGCACGTATCAATATTTTGTTCCTTTTAGGTGCCAAATCCCATTAAATTGTATGGATGACTCCCATTAGTTTATTCACTTATCAGTTGATAGATATTCAGGGTGCTTCTGCTTTTTGGACTATTATGAATAAACTGATATAAATATTCACGTTCACGTGTCATGTTGACATACATTTTTATTTCTTTGCGGTAGACAGGTAGGAGTGACACTGCTAAGTCATATGGTAAATGTATCTTTAATGTTTTAAGAAACTGCCAAATTGTTTTCCGGTGTGGCTGCCTGTCCCATCAACAATGCATGAGTATTTCAATGTTTCACATCATTGTTTTTTCACTTCCTCCAATTGTTACTGTCTTTCTTTTCTATTATAGCATTCTAGTGGGTAAGAAGTTGTATCACATTGTAGTTTTGATTTGCATTTCCCTGCTGACTGATGATGCTGACCATCTTTTCATGTGCTTTATTGGCCATTCCTATACCTTTTCGATGAAATGCTATTCAAATATCTTCCCCATTTTAAAACTGGGTTATTTATCTTTTTGCTGTTTAATTGTATTTTATATTCTGGATACAAGTCTTTATCAAATACGTGATTTGAAATTGTTTTCTTAGTCCGTAGCTTATCTTTTCATTTTCTTATTGATGTCTTTCAAAATGCAAATATTTTTAGTTTTGATCATTTTAGTTTTGATCAAATGCAAACATTTGATCTCATTTTTAAACTTTTTCCCTTTTACCAGGAAAAGTTGGGGTTTTGCCTAATTCAAGATCATGAATATGTTAATCTGTGCTTTCTCCTAAGATGTGCATAATTTAGCCCTTACATTTAGACCTATAATCCATTTTGAGGGAATTTTTGCTTATGTGTGAGTTAATGGCCTAAATTCTTATGGTCACTTGATTTGGACAAAAGTAAATTCAATGAAGGAAAAGGATAGTCTTTTAAACAAATGATACTGAGACAACTGAATTGTCTACATGCTCAGGGAATTTCAGCATGCTGTGTAAAGTGAGGCCCATCTGAGCCATACCCTATTGGCATCAGAGTTCTTGCAGACTTTCTTGATATGATAACCATGTGTTAAATAATATGCTGTAGCTAGTTCTCTCTTCCTGTTCCACAGGCAGCCACACTGTCCTGTTTTGCTCCAACCACACCCCTGAGACAACATGGTAAAGCTGAGGGCCTGAATAAACGGATTTGGCTGTATTGGGTGTCTGGTCACCAGGGCTACTTTTAACTCTGGTAAAGTGGATATTGTCGCCATCAATGACCCCTTAATTTAGCTCAACTACATGGCCTACATGTTCCAGTATGATTCCACCCATGGCAAATTCCATGGCACCGTCAAGGCTGAGAATGGGAAGCTTGTTGTCAATGGAAAGCTAGATCCTACCAAAATAAAAAATGGCAATGCTCTTACTGAGTACCTTGTGGAGTCCATCAGTGTCTTCACTACCACGGAGAAAGTTGGGGCTCACTTCCAGAGGGGAGTCAAAAGGGCCATCATCTCAGCCCCCAGTGCTAATGTCCCCAGGTTTCTGATGGATGTGAACCATGAGAAGTATGACAACAGGTTCAAGATCATCAGCAATGACTCCTGTCCGACCAACTGCTGAGCACTCCTGTCCAAGGTCATCCATGACAATTTTGGTATCGTGGAAGGACTCGTGACCACAGTATACGCCATCAGTGCCAGTCAGAAGACTTTGGATGGCCCCTCTGGGAAGCTGTGGCATGACGGTCACCGGTCTCTCCAGAACATCATCCCGGCCTCTACTGGTGCTGCCAAGGCTGTGGGTGAGGTCATCCTTGCCTAAATGCAAGGACCCTATGAATCCCCTATGGGAATAAATCCTCTGGAAGCACTTTCCTTTCTTCTGGCACTCTGCACATTTACTGTGCACAGCACCTAACATGTCTCATGTTTTATCTCCCCCGCTGGACCACTAAACTGGGAGCAGAAATGGAAAATCAGAAGTATTAGGCCTTTGTCCAGCCTGCAGACTTGTTTTGTTAGTTTGCATGCTTTTCCCCCCACAAAGTCTAATTTATTAAGAAAATTATAACCTATGACACATACACAGAAAATATGTATGTGGTATAATAATGTGTATTTGGGACATATCACTAAGAACGAACAGATTTGCTGCTGACACTTGTCCACCCACTTTTTAAGGTGTAAAATATTATGCACACAGTTTGAACACTACCCCATACATCCCCCTCCTGCAGCAGGTCTTCACACTACTTTTTCCAATTTACAGTTAGTCATTAATATTTAGAA